CAAACCACATAGATTTGAATCCCATATCTGCTTGTTATGTAAGTGGCAAGTTACTTCACTTCTTTGCACATCCATGTTCTGACCCATAAAATGGGGATAATAATCCACATAAGATTGGTTTGTGGATTAAATTAATTGAATGAGTATTTAGAGTAACATCAAATAAATACTAACTTTATTATCATCATCCTCAGGTATGAGAAGTATAAATTAAAAAGACAAATAGAGGAATATTTATTTGCTGGATGCTTTGGCAAGCCTGAGTTTTACTTATAGCAACAAAATTCTTATTTTAGTAAGGATTAAAATTACAAATAGCCTTTCATTTGAAGAAAGTGCTATTTAAGCAACAGTTTATTATCTTCTATCATTTCAAGTAATTGCCCATGTTTTTCTAGGCAGTGCTGGGAATGTAGGAAATGGTTTCTGGGAAAATAGGATCATGAATGTCAAGAAAGAAAGAGAGAGAGAGAGAGAGAGAGAGAGAGAGAGAGAGAGAGAGAGAGAGGAAGAAAGAAAGAAAGAAAGAAAGAAAGAAAGAAAGAAAGAAAGAAAGAAAGAAAGAAAGAAAGAAAGAAAGAAAGAAAGAAAGAAAGAAAGAAAGAAAGAAGAGGAAGGGAAGGGAAGGGAAGGAAAAAAGGAAGAAAGAAGGAAGGAAGGAGAGAGAGAGAGAGAGAGAGAGAGAGAGGAAGGGAGGGAGGAAGGAAGGAAGAGGAAGGGAGATTTCAGTGGACATCTTTTGTTAGCAACTTAAACACTGTCCACAGTTTTACATTTTATATTAACCTAGAGAGGAAACAATGTTGCCTTAGTGAGAGGGTCAAAATGTTCTGATTCAGGAAAATGTTCCCGAGTCTTTGATGCTTCTATTAATCCTTAGAGCTTACTGCTATGGCATTCCATATTTGTTCATGTGTCAGTCACTACCTTAATTGATTGTGAATACAGTGGTCAACAGGGAATAGCAGTTTGCTATCTTATTGGTGCATTACTTCTATATGTAATCTAAAATACCAAAGGGAAATGTAAATGCTCAAGATTTACCCTCAAGCCCTTGGAGCTTTTGGCGCAGGCCTCTCTGCTACCTTACAGGAGCTTAGTGAGTAAATTCTAGACACAAGACAGCATCTGAAACACAATCAGGAACATGTGAGTGAATGTCTTTAAAAAAAAACTGTATATAGAAAAAAGCTAGCTAGAGCACAGTTTCTGCAAAACAAAAAGCCATTTTGGAAGTGAGACAACCTTGTTTTTAAAAGATTTTTAATAAAATAAAATAAAAACCTCTAAAACACTATTTTTTTGCTCATAAAGGCATTTGCTCATTAGCATGAGTTCTGGCGAAGACCAAGGCCTGTCTCAAATGCATGTTTGGAGTTTGTGTTGAACTTTTCCAAGGGCAGAGTTTAACCACAGCAAGAGATTCAATCTTATTCTCCAATTTGCTTTCCTTAAAAATGGAATTCTTAAGATGGAGGTAAGGAGAATGTGTTATTGATATCTTTCCAGTTGCCCATGATTTCATGTGCCTGCAAACATAATCTGTGTCTTTCTGGTAGAAGGTAATCCTTGGGACTTCTGGATGAAAATCTGTGGAAGAATGAACCCTGGATTTCCCAGAACCTGCACTGCCGCCCCTGGAACCCCTCCCCCACACCACACTGAGCATATGCAGTTGTTGTCATAGAAATCATAATTGTTTGTTAACTAAATGAAATAAGTAGTTACAGAGAAACCAGACAATGTAAACTGTACATGTATGAATAGGTTATTTCCTTTCTAATGCCAAAGGTCTCAACTCTTTTGCTTTTGAGCTCTCTCTAAAGCAAGAAACTCATAGAATTTTCATTAATGACTCATAGTTTTCACTAAGGATTTCATTAAATCAACATTTGAGCTATCTACTATGTGCAAAGCATTACAAAAATATGTGGAAGCAAATTATACGATCCATCTGGATGAGAATCAAAGAGAGATGATTGTGGCGGTAGTTCTAGGTAACAGAATGAAGTTCCAGAAAGCAAAATATTTTTTAACATAGCACATGATAGTAAAGTCTAAGTCAATAAATTTCCATCATCTCCTAGAGGGCAAAGTTGTAGAAAATTATATGTATTTGGAACCTTAAGTTGAAAAGTTAGTTAAAAAATTAAATAGCCTCATTTATCTCATTCTTATATTTGTTCCCTATTTTACATGGATAAATGTGGGACTATCACATACTAAAATGTAATTCTTTCTTGGTGTTTTCAAGCCATTTGCCTAGGCCACCTCTGTAATGAGAGTGAATTAAATGCTGGAAACTACACTGATTTCCTAATTCAATTATACCCTCTTACTTATTTCAGGTCAGCCACACCCTGAGCAACAACAGTTTCTTAAATGATTACAAATAGACCCCAATTTTGAGTATTAAGGCTTGAGTATTAAGGACCCCAATTATGCCACAGTTTTGTGACCCCAATTTTGCCCCATCCATCCGCTAGATACATTATACAAAATGTGATTTTTCTAAAATGCTAATCTGATAAGGCTGCTTCCCTGATCAACATCCTTAGCAGTTCTCAAACAACATAAAGTCTACATTCTCCAATACAGCTTACATGTTTTAGAAATTAGTACTCATAACTGCTTTCTTTTGCTATTATTTTAGTCTAAGAGTCATTTGACCTGGTATCATAGCAAAACTTAATCATCATCTTTCACTCTGATGCCTTCTTTAGCCCTCTCTTATAATTGTTTACACTGTATCTTAAACTCAGCTTTATACTGCATAGATTTCTGCCTCTGCACCTCTTATCACACCCAAATTCTGTCTTTCCTACAAGAATAGGGTCAAGGACCTCAGATGATGATTATTATTCTTTTAATTTTAGCATAATAAATATTTATGTAATGAATGACTAAGTGAATGAATAAGTAAATGGATAAATGAATAAATGAGACAGAACCTTCAGGTCAATGTTCTTAGGACCTAGAGATGAAAATAGTTACAGGAGGTAGCACTAGTAATGGTGGATGACAATATGAATAGGAGTAAGTGAAACTTGTTTAAAAGTGTCTGTAACACGAGGATAAATTCACTGAAGTTTAATTCTCAGAAACTGAACTAGAACAATGATCAACAGGAAAGAGTATAACAATATTTTTTAAAGCACAGATTAAGACAGATCTGGATTTAAATATATTCCCTCTACTTGAAAGTTTCACTAGGCCTGTTCTTTTACTTTTATTAGCTTCATTTCTGCATACCTAAGATTAAAAAGATAAAGTCAGTGGTGTGCCTAGAGCTTTATAAATAGGGGCCATGTGACTCACATATTCAAATAAAACCTTTTAAAAAGTTTTGATTCTAAGTCATTGTTAAGCCTGAAGTAAGTTAATAGACTCTCTCATCCCAGAGCCACTTCGTTAAATATTTCCATTTAAAATAATATTCTTTTGTCAGTTATCTGTTTAGCCATACTGAAAGAAATGTTTTCAAAGGCAAGAACACACTTTTGTGGGTGTACACATTAACACTCCAAATTATTACAGTCACTGTATCTCCCTGTGGGATCGAATACATGGGATACGGGGGAAGTAGTCAACTTCCTTAATACTCAAGGCTTGATAATTAAGGGATTTTAATATTTTAATCGTTCTTGTTTTTTTAAATATATACTTTTTTATTTCAGAGAGGAAAGGAGAGTGAGAGAGATACAGAAACATCAATGATGAGAGAGAGTCATTGACTGGCTGCAGCCTGCACACCCCTTACTGGGGATTGAGCTCACAACCAGGGCATGTGCCCTGATCGGGAATTGAACTGGTGGCCCCTTGGTTCCTGGGTCACACTCAACCACTGAGCCACACCTGCCAGGCTTAATCAATCATTCTTTATAGCAATGGTTCTCAACCTTTCTAATGCCACGACCCTTTAATACAGTTCCTCATGTTGTGGTGACCCCCAACCATAAAATTATTTTCGTTGCTACTACATAACTATAATTTTACTACTTTTATGAATCATAATGTAAATATCTGTGTTTTCTGATGGTCTTAGGTGACCCTGCTTGTGGTTATCAACCTGTGGGTCACGACCCACAATCTATCGTGACCCACAGGTTGAGAACCACTGCCGTACAGCCTAAGACCATCGGAAAACACAGATATTTACATTATGATTCATAACAGTAGCAAAATTGCAGTTATGTAGTAGCAACGAAAATAATTTTATGGTTGGGGGTCACCACAACATGAGGAACTGTATTAAAGGGTCACGGCATTAGAAAGGTTGAGAACCACTGCTTTATAGGGAAGTGACATGGGATTCACCACACTCTGAAATCAGTTCTCATCATTGTTACTTGGAAGGAACAAGAACAAAAATATTAGGAAGCTCTTAAAACAGGTTTGGTTATTAGAATATCATTCTTGGGGCCCAGTCAGTGTGACTCTGTGGTGGATCACAGACCTATAAATCAGGAGGTCATGGTTCAATTCCTGGTCAGGGCACATGTCCAGTAGGGGGGGGGGGGGGGAGGGGGCGTTCAAGAAGCAGCTGATTAGTGATTCTCTCTCATCATTCATGTTTTTATCTCCCTCTCTTCCTCTTGCTTCCTCTCTGAAATGTCATCCTTGTAGCTTCTCATTGGCCTAAGAGCAACTGATGCAGCTTAAAGCCAAAGTAAGACCTTCTATCTAGAGAGTTTGTCAAACTCCATGACTTGGTAACAGCTAAAAAAAAAAAAAAAAAAAAAAAAAAGGCAACAGTATCCTAATGCTTTAAAATGGGTAACTTCTTGCTTTATGGGAGTCCTGCTCTCTTTCTGTATATTACCTAAGAATTTGGACATTATTTACTCACTAACATTACATTAAAAGGGAGAAGTGAGAGATGGAATGTCTCTTTTGAAGCTCGTGTTAATTTTTCCTGATTATTTTCCCTTAAAAATGTCATGATCATATCCACAAAGGATAAAAAATCAATATGAAGTCAAGTAGAGAAATAAACAAACCTCTCAGAATGCCTTTGGCAACAATTGGCAGCGATGTCAGTCCCCTCAGCCATTTAATATCCTCCCAGCTGATGGATGGGTCTATAGCTTTTGCCACATATGCAGCAAGTCCACTGTTGTCGCCAAAATTTTCCTTTGGAGAAAATGCTAAATCGTTGGTTTTAAAATTTTTCATCCTGAAATAAAGAGATATCTAAATTGAGAAACACCTCAAAGATATCTTTACAATGACTCACTCAAAAAGAAAAGGAAAGTTACCTTTTTCAAATCCATTGCTTGTTCACTCCTCAACCATCTAAAGCAGTGATTTTCAACCTTTTTCATTTCATGGCACACAAAAGTTAATTACTGAAATTCTGTGGCACACCAAAAAATATATTTTTTGTTGATATGACCAAAAAATTGGTGTAATTTTGATTCATTCACCCTGGACAACTATTGTGTTCACTGTTGTCATTTTTTTTTTTAATTTGACAATCTATGGGGGGAAAGGTCAGTGCCTCTGACTAAATAAATAGTCAGGTATTGCATGTTTTAAAAATTGCCCACTGGTTGAAAATCACTAATCTATAAGTTGGTTTCAATTATATTTCCCCTTTTTTAAATATAGCTTTATTGATTTCAGAGAGAAAGGGAAAAGGAGAGAGAGAGAATTACTGATGGCTGCCTCCTACATGCCCCCGACTGGAGATCGATCAAGCATACAACCCTGCTAGCCAAACTTTTCTTTGGGTAAAAATATAGCTGTACATTGACCTCTGACTTAGTCATAACTCTTTCTTCCCTTGCACTAACTCTGCCATTGAATATAGAAAGTATCTTGGAGCCATAACTATAACAATTTTATGTAAACCTAGAATTACATAGGTACACTATTTTAAAATTATTTTTAAGAGGATCATAAGATTTCCTTTAATATAAAAATAAGCTTAGTGCTTTTTACATTTTAGTGTACTTGCAGCTAAAATAACTGGTTGGGTAGCTTGGGTGGCATATATTATCAAAGAATATGAACATTCACATCCCACATAACTCTACTCAAGCCATTGGCAAAGTTTTCACGATAAATATTAAACAGTAAGCTCTATAGTTTCATGGACTTAGGAGGCCCTTACAAGTCATTGAAAATTCTAGCTCCATGAGAGGCATACCCATTTATTTGTTGAGCCTTGGTCTGGATTTTAAGGGGAATACTCAAACATCTCTTTTGTAATCAAATGACTAAATGTTGTACATTTTATAACAGACTTTGAGTCTTCCATTGTCATTCTAACTTGAATTAAGCTAACCTTCTGGTCAATAAATATCTCTGTATTATGGAGAACCATCCCATCATTTAGAAATGATAATAAGTGATATTAAATTCCAAACTTTTAAGTAACATTGGTAATAAGTAAAAAGTCTGGTCAGTAGCAAGACCAGAGAGGGGGAAAAAAAAAGAAAAACATCTGTATGTGTATATACTCTGCACAGCACCCCACACCCCTCCCAAACAAGCTACAGTGTTTCAGCAGGGGCGGGGTGAAAGGGTGAAATGGATAGGAAAAAACAGAAACATGGATAAAATTATATAAATAACTGTTGTTATTCTTGGACGGTGCAATGCAGATCAACACTTGAATGAATGTTGCCTTACAGAAATTTCAGGGCACAATGAAGCCTTGTTGTTGCTCTAAAACGTTGTTCAAAGCCAGAAGCCAAGAAAAAGTTTTCAGATATCTTGACAGAGACCCGCGATGGAGTGTTTTACCAATGGCTCTGAAGAAAGCCTTCGTGAATGCTATTTTTATTTGAGTTATGACATATACACAAGAAACACTTAAAGCGCCTTCTGATAACCAAAGTATTGCATTTTGTAAGGAAGGAAGGGGGCAACATCAAAATAATAACATGATTGCTAATGACTTAATTCTTGAATCCCAGTCTATTTAATAACCCAGAGGCAAGGGATAGAATTTCTTCTTTGTAAGGAACTCATTGTGCCTTGAATGTTCCTCAAGTATACTTTTTAATCTAATATAGAAATTATTTTAGCTTTTAGTAAGTTAGTATCATAAAAACAGTAGCAACTCCTAAGAGAAAGTTAAACATTATTAAATCACCAGTGGTAACACCAGTAATGAATATTATGGAGAAATATGTGATATTGTTTTATTATAGTTATTGATAATATGCCATTAAAGATAAAGCTATATGTCTCCATACTGGGAAACTAAATAAAAAATAACTATCAGTAGAGCCTATGATATCAACTCAATATGAGAGAGACAGAGATTCATAATGCATACAGGAACTGGTACATAGACCCCTAGCCTTTAATTATGTGGTTAGGGAAATGCTTATATTGAGAACATAGCCCTGCTAATCTCTTCCTCAGTGTGGCTGGGCAAGTAAAAGAAAGGTTGAAGGAATGGGTTTTAAGTCTGAGCACAAACCTTTGCTAAAATTCTTACTAGTCATGTTTTATTGGGTAAATCACACATGATCGAATCTAGTTGTTTATTGATTCAGCATTACTTATTGAGCACCTACTGTGATGTTTAGGGTAGACCAGTAAATACAACAGTCAAAAATCCCTGGCCACACTGAGTTGATATTCTAGCAAGAAGAGACAGAAAATAAACAATAAATGTAATCAATAAGTAATTTATGGAGCAAGTTAGATTATAAGTGCTATAAAAAAAATAAATGAAAAGACCTTGGGACAGTGGCTCAGTTGGAGAGTTGGAGCACTCTCATACACCAAGAGGTAACAGGTTCATATAGGTTTGATCCCCTATCGGGATCCACTGTGCAACTGATGAATGTCTCTCTCTCTCTCTCTCTCTCTCTCTCTCTCTCTCTCTCTCTCTCTCTCTCTCTCTCCCTCCTGAAATTCAATTTAAAATAATCTCTGCTGAATATTTAAATAAATTAATAAATGCATCTTAAAAAGTGCTTCAGAATAAGAGGTAAGTGAGCTGATAGAGGGTTGACTTAAAAATAAAATATGGTAATCAAATTTAGTAGCTTCCTTGAGAAGCTACCTTGTAGAGAAAATGAACAGATTGGTATTATTGGGTATGCTACTTGTTGCTGCTATAGCAAAAGATCACAAACCTAAAGGCTGTACAATGACACAAACATTATATTGCAGATGTGGAGGTCAGAAGTCCATAATGATTCCCACTAGACTACACTCAGAGTGTGGATAGGGCCATTTTCCTTCCAGGGGCTCTAGGGTGGAATCCTTTTCCTTGCCTTTCCCACTTCTAGAGACCACCTGTGTCCCCTGACCCCAGAGGACATCATTCCAACCTCTGCTTCCATCATCACCTCGCCTCTCTGACTTGGACACTCCTGCCTCCCTCTCATGAAGACCCCTTGGTTGCATTCAGCCTGTGAGATAATCCAGGATAATCTTCCTATCTCAGAGTCAATTTTGCCGTGTAAAGTAACAGCTTCACAGGCCCCAAGGATTAGGACAGGGACATCTTTGGGAAGTCCTCATGCTGTTTAATATTGTTATATTGTGAATGTTTTTGTAACCAAAGAATTCGGAGGCTACTGGGCCATATAACTAGTCCACTTTCCCAACTACCCTGTTTCTCCAAAAATAAGGCAGTGTCTTATATTATTTTTTTTCCTCCCAAAGTTGTGCTAGGTCTTATTTTCAGGGGATGTCTTATCTTTCCATGTGCTAGGTCTTATTTTCGGAGGATGTCTTATTTTCGGGGAAACGCAGTATTTTTCTCTCCAAAACCTCTCCAAGATCCCCACCCATACTGTGTTTCTGTTCTGATCTCTACTGTTTATTTTTATGTCCCTTTCCCACTATAAAGACAGGTAGACCCAAACCTGATATAAAAACATAGGAAAAGTGAAGAAGTGAGCGGTGCGTTGATTTGGGGGAATGGTATTACAGGCAGAGGGAAGAATCAGTTCTGAGGCCCTAGGGCGTTAACACGCCTGGTGAGTTGAAGGAAGAGTAGGGCTGCCAGTGTGGCTCAGTGAGTAAGGATGAGGATGCTAGGAGATGGGGTCAGGGAAGTAATGGGGAGGGAGCTGCTCATGTTGGCCTCAGAGGCTACTTTTATCATGGCAGACCTGGGAAGACAATGGCATTCTGATCCTTTTGTGTGTGTGATCTGTTCTGGTGCTATCATTAATAAATCATGTTGGGGCTTAAGGAAACATGTCCCCAGGCAAATCACCAAATGGGTAGGTGTCATGATTTACCTTGAATGTAGTCATTGATTGGAAATCCCTTTTCTTCTCTTTCCTCTGCCTTGGCATTACACCCAAGAGCCAGATCCTTACCCAGAGAAAATGGACTGTCCCTTGGGGTGTGGACACAGACAAGGCCCTGCGTCAGAGCCTCTGGCACCAGCCTAGGGAAGAGCCCTGGCTTCATTCCTGGGTTCTTCCAAGAGCAGATGAGTATTCTCCTTACCCTCCCCCCCTCACTGTCAGGAACCTCTGTGCCATGCAGAATGTACACACATGCATGTGTTTTGCATCGAGACCAAGCAGAGATGACCAAACTCCTGAACTCTGGCTGGTCCCAGATGCCAAGAGTCAGAGCCCTCCCCCACCGCAGCAGAGGAAGTAGCAAGGGCTGGAAGGAGCCACTGCTTTACAGACTCATTCTCTTCTGGATTTCCTGCCTGCCTCGCCTGCCAAACCTCACTTGTGCAAAGCCCGACTTCACCTTCTATGAGTCAGGTCAGCTGCGGAAAGAAACCTGATTTCATATCAGGCCGGAACAGAGGAGCTTTTCGGTTGTATGTGGCCTCAGGCGGAAACCTGGGCCCCCCATTAGTGGGCTCTGCCTTCGACTGCTGAGTGTGGGCCATTGGGAAGCCAAGCAGAGGAGCTGGCCTGCCTGTAGCCCACCAGGACCAGCAAGGCCAAAGGGCACTCTGGGGGTGCGGCACCCAACCCTGGGGTGTTTCCTGCCTGCTCAGTGATCTGGGCAAATTGCTCACTATTGGATCATCTTCAGACGGGAGACGTGACAAGCCACTCCTGTGCACAGGGACAGCTAAAAAGAGCCTTTGTCTCATGGTCTTGTGGGTCATCCGGGCGGGAGCCTGGGAGCAAAGGAAAAGGGGGGGAGGAAGCAAATCCCTCTCCTGACTGAGTGGCGTGGCACGGAAGGAGCAAGACATGGCAGCCAGAAGCAGCAACTGTGTCATCTCCCATGTCTAAATACCTGCCACTGTGAACATCTTATTTTTAAAAATATATATTTTATTGATTTTTTTTTACAGAGAGGAAGGGAGAGGGATAGAGAGTTAGAAATATTGATGAGAGAGAAACATCAATCAGCTGCCTCCTGCATGCCTCCTATTGGGGATGTGCTTGCAACCAAGGTACTTGCCCTTGATGGAAATCAAACCTGGGACCTTTCAGTCCACAGGCCAATGCTCTATCCACTGAGCCAAACCAGTTAGGGGTGTGAACACCTTTTGTCATGCAGAGCGAGAAAGTGCTTCCTGAGCTACAGAAACAACCCTACTGTTTTTACTGTTGTTGTTGTTGTTAGTCATATTAACAGGAGGAGGGGAAAATAGCAAACTCCTTTTGAAATGGCAAAAGGAAAATATTGAGGAATGTTTCCTGTTAGAAGCCTTGAGTGGCATACTAATTTTAGAAAGTCTAAAAAAAATAATAATAAGGTAATCAAAACAGAGAAATAATGTGAATACAGATCTCATGTAGAGAAATTTGAAACCATCTACTTGCTGATGAATTCAGCCAAACATAGGAATATGTCAGGGGCCTTTTACTTTTATTTTCTTGGAAAGACAGGGTGTCTGGGTAATCCTGGGTCTGGGAAACAGGAAGCAGGTCTGAGGGGAGAGCACGTTCTCCTCTGTCATTGGCCACTGAAGGTACCATATGCAGAAATAATATCCTAAACCTGCTGGAGGTTGAGAACATCGCACTGATAACTTACATAGGGCAAGATTTGATGCACAAAAGTTTATACCCAGAGAGGTACGTACTCAGCAGAGCTATAGGACAGCTGTGTGACACCCAGGACAGTAGATGAACTTATGTGCTGGTTGTAATATATCCTATTCTATAACATATGCAGAATTCCTGGCTTCCATCAGTCTTCTTGTCCTTGTATGGAATGCTGATTTGATTTTGAATCTTCCAGATTTGTGAGCTTTCAGAACGGTTAATGTTAAATGTAGCTATAATAAGCAACAGCCCATGTAAAACGAGGTCTAGGATCCAAAGAAGGCATACCTCATTGTTTCCTATCCTCCCATGGAGGCTTTGAAATCCCTTCATCTAAATGTCTTCTATTGCAACTAATATGTTGATTCCTGTTCAAATGTGTTTAACCCTGACAGTTATCATTGCTATGAAAAATCCTGAAAGCAGATTTTGGTGGGAACTGGGAAAAGATAAAATAAAAGGGAAAAGAGGTCTATAGTTTAGGGAGGTTGGGGTCTTTCTTAGTAAACTCTACTGAAGTCCCAGCTTTACTAAAGATTATCCTAATTCTAAATTATTACAGGAAAAAAAGGACAATTCCTTGCTACTGCCCAAGCTGACTGACCTAATGAAAACATCATTGTTCAGCCATAGATTACTAGACACATTGTTCATGCTAATATGAGTGAGTTTATAAATGAATGAACTCATGAATAAGTGAGTTAAAGTTCATCTACAATTATATAGGGATATTGCAGCCCTGGCCAGGTAAACTCAGATGGTTAAAGCACCACCCTGATACACCAAGGTTGCAAGTTCGATCCCCAGTCAAGACATATATAAGAGTCAACCAATGAGTGCATAAATGGGTGGAACAACAATCAATCTCTCTCTCATTCAAATCAATAAATAATTTTTAAAAGAGGGCTATTGTTCAAAAAAGTCATTGATGAGGAATCAAGAATGTGGCTTCTTTTGCCTCCACTCTTTGTTTTCTTCAATCTTCCTAGCCCAGAAACGATGAAAAATAGAAGTTACTAGGTGGCTCTATGATTTCAACAAGACCTAGGATATTGGGATCACAATAAAATTGTGTCCTGGGCTATATTAAATATTATCTATCTATATGGCATTTCATTCTTCTCCAAGCCCTTAATGCTCTCTGATATATAACTTTGACTTTTATAAATATATGGGCAATTTCTATCCCTCTTTATAGCTCAAGTATGTAACACCCACTAAATGGGTGTGATTTGCTGGAAATTATGGGGATATTTGGCAAGGACACTATCCCTAGAATCCAGACCCTATCAGCCCTAGACAAGATCCCTCTCAACCATACTTAAGGTGCAACATTCTGTGAAGAACTAATTCCCCAAGACACTCACTTGGATACTAGAGAGAACTTTTGGAACTGGCTAATGGCAAGAGCAAAGAGAATTAGAAAAATATCTCAGGGGCCCAGGAGACCAAAGACCAATGGTTACCTGAGCTGCGGTGGCAGCTTGAACCTGTTTCGCACATCGTCAAAGCGGTTGCCCAGATAAGGGGTGTCCACTGTCACAAATATGGCCTTGTATCCCATCCGTTCGGCCCGCAGCACGAGCTGCTTGGTGACTTCCCGGTCCTTGTAGATGTACAGCTGCAGCCAGCGAAGCGCCTCACGGCCGACCTCTGCCACTTCTTCAATGGAGGAGGTGGCCCAGGAACTCAGCATCATGCCCGTTCCCAGTGACCTGCAGGCTGAGAAAGAAAGAAAGAAGGGAGAAGAGCAAGGCAAGCCTGGTATGTCCCCACTCCAAATACTTCAGCTGTAGCATAAGGCGTAAAGAATCTACAAGGGCAATTTGGCAAAAAGAAGTCAAATCTTTCAAAAGTTAGAAATATGCATTTCCCCATACACACTGTGAATTTATCTTGAAGACAAAAATGAGTCATGTAGTCAAAGGTGTGCCAAATATAAGATAAAAAAGTTGGGGAAAATCTGACATCTAACCATAGGGGGTTGGATATAATATAATTCATATTTAAAATGAAATGTACACTCCATTAAAGGTAATATTTTTGTGATCATTAATTTGGCTAAACCATGGTAGCCAGATTCTGGCTTAAGCATGTTTGGATGTTGCTGTGAAGTTATTTTTTTAGGTGAGATGCACATTTAAATCAGCATACTTTGAGGAAGGCAAATTACTCTCTATGTGTGGAGGGGCCTCATCTAATCAGCTTAAGACCTTAAGGAAAAGACTGACCCTCCCTGAGGAAGAGGGAATTCTGTCAGCAGTCTTTCTTCAGGCTCAAATTGCAACATCAACTTGTCTCAGGATCTTCACCTGACAGCTTACCTTAAAGATTTTGGACTTGCCAGCCTCCACAAGTATATGAGGCAATTCCTTAAATAGTTAGATAGATAGATGATAGATATTCCTCTCTCTCTTTTTTTCTCTCTCTCCCCATAAATCCTATCTAATAAAAAAGTAATTGCAAATTGACTGTCACCCTCACACACAAGATGGCTGCCCCCATGTGGTCAAAGATGGCTGCCCCCATGTGGACACAAGATGGCTGCTACAAAATGGCCAGCAGGGGAGGGCGGTTGGGAGGGACCAGGCCTGCAAAGGAGGACAATTGGGGGTGATCAAGCCTGCAGGGGAGGGAAGTTAGGGAAGGTAGGATTGGGACTAAACAGGCAGTCAGACATCCCTCAAGGGGGTCCCAGATTGGAGAGGGTGCAGGCTGGGCTGAGGAATACACCCCCCAAGCACAAATTTCATGCCAGGCTTCTATCGATAGTATGTATGTGTGTGTATATGTCTAACCTAATAATAGAGTAATATGCAAATTAACCATCACTCTGCTACACAAGTCACACCCACCAGCCAATCAGAGTGAGTATGCAAACTAACCAAACAAAGGTGGTGGTTAATTTGCATACACAGAAGGAGGGAGGAGTGAAGACTGAAGACAGCATAGAAGGAAGAGGGAGGGAAAGTGGAAAGCAAGGCGGCTGCTGCTATTGGAGGGAAAGCACTGGCAGCGCGTGCAGGGTGAGGCAGGGTGAGGTATGCAGCGGGCACACGCAGCTGTGGAGGCGGCGGCAGCGGACAGCAGCAGGGGTGGCGGGCGCGGCAGGTAGGGGTGCACAGCAGCAGGCCAGAGGGGGCGGCAGCGGGCACAGACATGGAGGCAGCAGCGGTGGGCGCAGTGGGTTTGAAGTGCAGGGCAAGGCACTGTGGTGGCAGCACGTGCGGCCGCAAAAAAGGTGGTGGAGGTGGCCACGGGCGTGGTGGGGAGGGTGGGATGGGTGGGGCGCCACAGGAGAGGTGGGGGTGGTGGGAGGGAAGCCCACCAGAAGTCTTGCAAGAATATTCCTGCAACAGGTGCCATATATAACATTTTTCCCAACATCCTTTGGCATATATGTTCAGAGGCCAGTCCATGCCATCTATTTCCCAAGTCTCTCAGCTCCAATACCAATGCCTCCTGATGTTATTGGTGCTAAGTATTTATTTTTCAATGACTGAATCATAGGAGCTGAAACTTTGGATCAGGGTCCCCCTTGTTTCCAGTTGTAGGCAGTCAGTATTTGGTGACTTGATGAATTTAGTGAGACTTCTTCATCAAGTCACCAAATCACTGCTTTTGCTGATATTTTCAAATGGTTCATATTTAACATTTCTTTATCTTCTTTATGTAGAGATAAAAGTAATACATTACGCCATCTCTATAGGAAAATGCTTTAACACACTAAAAGAGACACTAGTAAGTTATCAGGCATTGAAGCATCAAAGACAAGGACAAAAGCATATAACCTAGGAAATAATATCTATATTCCCAAAAATAGGACATAATGGACTGAGAGTCAGAGGCTTGGGCTACAGTCCTAGCCTTGCCCTCCACAAAACACATGTCATCTGCAAAATAGCCATAACCATAGCTGCTTCCCTGTCCTCTCATAGGATTGCTGGCAAGTCCACTGAGACCATGTCTACAGACATTTTCTGTGTGAACACTGAAGAGATGCATTGTTAAGGGTTTGTGAGGGAATGCCTAACACTATTTGGCCAAAAAAGTCCTACATAGCTTTTAAAAGTTTCCTCATCTTGCCAAGGACCAGGGTTTCTCAACATCTCCACACTCAGCTCTCCTCTGCAACAATTTCCATGCTTAAGACACCCAATCCTCTTTTTTCTTGCATATATGGTGTCAAAGGCTTGCCACCTAAGGAAGAACACTCTTAAAAGACAGGAATCTTCTCCAGGCCAAGGGGTTACCTGCTAGGTCCTCTGTAGGGAGAGAATGTCAAAGGAGGTAATTCCTACATTCCAAGGGTACACACCACTTTGAAAAGCCAGGGACAAAACAACTGCAAATAATATTGAGGGGCAGCAGAATCAGCCCCCCCACACTCACACACCCCACCCCTACCTTTTATCTGTCCTCGGACTTTCCTAATAGAGCACATCAGAATAGAGCTAAAGGGCTGCAATATTTGCATACTCTAGCCATCAAACAATAATACCTGGAAGAAATGTGTTTTTTGTTTTTTAAATTTTCACTACATTCTTCTTTTTCTCTGCTCTTTCATGTTCCTGCTGGGACACTTACGTTCTGCAGGTGTTTGGTGATGGTGACACTGGGAAGCCTGCAACCAAAGTACATGCCTTTGACCAGAATCCAACCCGTGACCCTTCAGTCAACAGGCCGATGCTCAAACCACTGAGAAAACCCAGCTAGGGTTGTACTCTTTTCTTAGTCATTCTTTTTCCTTTCATTTTACTTTGAAAACCAAATTCTATGAGGAGAGTCCAAAATGAAGCAAGAGAGAGAGAGAGAGAGAAAAAAAGAGAGAGAGAGCACGCCCAAAAATGAGAACTCCAGGTCAGAAAGCACTCAGATGGTAACTAGGGGAGAGCAGAAAATGTGCTAGCCATAGGCATGAGTCTACAGGGCTGGGAGAGCTGTAGAGGACAAGAGATTATAGACATCACTCATTCATAGGGTTTCCAGGAATCAGAGTCCACTCAATAGCACCCAACACACACTCTTTCATTTGCCATACAATTGTAAGTATAATTTTATGGAAATAAATGTAGTTAATGTCATTGTTATATATAATGTCATTGGAAAATATTGGTGCATTCTGTTTAACAGAATAAAAGTTACCCTCAGTCCTGCTCACAATCAAGTTTCTTGTAGATTTGCATTACATGCCCTCGGGTGGGGAAATACTGTAAGGGTCTACAATGAGTTGGCATAAGACGGGGTGCAGCTCAGCATCCCCAAACTATGGGTGAATAGAGTTAATGCAATTTTCTATGTTATGGAACCTGTAATCCACTACAGAGGTTTATATCAACTCATATTAGATATAAATGCAGTCACCTCTGAGTTGGTACAAATCCTAAACTCCAATGCACAGTGAGTTTAATGGGCTAGAGCTTTGCAAAACATCATGAACTGGCAGAATCCTCCCTATGGCTATGAAATGCAATGTGCTTCTAGATTTTGGGCCTTAATGAAAATGTTTATTTCTGATCCCAGTCATCTGGATGTGGAGGTCAGAAGATAAGAACTTAAGTTTTGGGGGCTGGACATTAAGCCTACTTACCATGGTTCTTCTATTGAAAACCACTTTGTACACATCTCCCTCATTTCTTTAGCATCTGCTTCTGACTTTCTGCTGTATTTCAGGCAGTTCTAAAATCAGCTGCCTCTCAGATCTTAGAAGGACTTTAATGAGCATGTGATTCATGCTACATCTAACACTGTCTTCATCTTGAGGATCTGAACTATGCCTTTGGTTGAGATGCACCAGGAACTTCCATTCTAGACTTTCCAATGCTTCTCAAGTTTTGATGTGCATAGGAATCATGTGGGAATGTTGATAAAATTCAGGTTCTGACCCAGTAGGTGTGGAATGGGACTTGAAATTCTGCATTTCTAACAAGCTTGCCAATGATACTAAAGCTTTTGTTCATGAAGAATACTTTGATAATAAGGTAGACATTTTTGTTCATAAAGACCCATCCAAGTTCATAGGAGATATCTGATGGCTCAAGTGAAGATAGACCTTATAGATAATGGTAGTGCATGGTTACCAATTGCCAGTCACATTCTGCTTATGAATCTGTCTTTCCTCTTCACAAATGTCCCTCTGGAGAGAAGCACAGGCATATTTGCCACATTTTCTCATACATTCATCTCTTACTAGTTTTAAAGTTAAGGTATTCATTGCATTATAGTAATACCTTCAGCACACTTCACCATCATTAGGGATTTTATAAGCTTGCTGATCTAGGATTTGCCCAGTTTTCTAGATTTTATATTAGAAGCAAAAATAAGTGCCAAACTAAAAGTAAAATGCCAGAAGATGAGGAAGAATAGAGAGAGGTTACTCAAAGCTGAGAAGGCACAATTTACCAACTGTAGAATTGCTTCCAAATGTTTAAGGTCAGGCCCAACAGTCTTACACGTATAGGTAAGATGCTGAATCATCAGGCAAAATAAAGGTCATTATACTAGGATTGACAAAAAAGGGGTTATAATACATTTGAGAATGATGTTCATCCATAGCCACTGTGAAAATAAACAGAGGAAAATAGAAGATATGAGAGGAAATGTCTATAACGTGGAACATTGATTCATGTGGGACAATCACATGCCCAGGTTAGAGCACAACAATGAAGCAATGTGCTACTTTGGGTCCAAATGATTCCTTTGAAAATAGCCCTCCTTTATGG